GTGAAGTTTGGTCTCCATATGTGATTGGGTAGGGATTTTAACCGTGAGGCAAGTTCTTGTATGTCTAATAGAATCGCGGATACTCTGCTTTGTGGAGCCTACTTTATCACGAACACAAATATTTGAACTAAAGTATTTGAATGATCCAAAGAATGCAGTGAAAATCGTGAAGCCATCAAAAACTTGCCTCATGCGAGTTCTCCATCCACTTCTGTTAATGACGATAAGATCGAAAAAGTTCCTGTGCGCAAATTGCTGACAGGGGATCTCAAAATCTCTTATGAACTGTCTCAATACATTTTGGGCCTTTCAGTTCCGGTGCGCAGATGGATAGAGGCTGTAATTGTTGAAACCAGAGTAGAGAATACCAAAATTCGCTTCAGCACTACAAGAGGCTGCCCTCAGGATGGAGTGCTATCCCCCCGTTTATGGAGCTTTGTCGTGGACGAATTGCTCGTTTTGCTAACTAACAACGGAATGCGCTGTCACGGATATGCAGACGACGTAGTTTTCATAGCTAGAGGATAATTTGAGCACACTCTCTGCGATATCGTACAAAGGGGACTAGGCGTACTGAACATCAAAACCACGAAGACGACTATTGTCCCGTTAACGAAACGCAGGTCCATTTCTAGCCTCAGGAACCTAACCCTTGGGGGCTAGCCAAGAATTATTAAGTGGGTGTACACATTGATCGTGCGACCGATTATCACATATAGAGCGGTGGCTTGGACCTCGAAAGCATCACAGACTTCGTTCGGACTTCAACTATCGAAGCTGGAACGACTCAACTGCTTTTGCGGGTTGGGTGCCATGCGCACATGTCCGACGGCGGCACTTGAAGTTATGCTGGAAATCACACTGTTTCACCGAGTAATCGGCCACGTAGCCAAACAGCAGAAATGTTTTGTAATCTCTTTCCAGCGCGTGAAGTACTTAAGTGGCGAAATATCACTAGATCTTTTCCCAAGAGACAGCATTACTAAATGTATAAACTTCATTAAGAAGTTCAGGGTTACCCTCAGTAGTAAAGCTGAATGGATGGACGTTTGCAGCTATAAAATGCTTAAATATGTAATCAACCTCTCAAGAGACAAGCTCAGTATACTTGTCGCCTTCTACACTCGCCAATGTAAGCCCAATAAGCACTTATATAACGTGGACCTAGATTTGCATGCGAATTTAAATTAAAAAAGTAGCTAAGGTAGTTTGATAATGCAGCTAAGCGCTCTACATTTATCAAACGTATCATAATTGGTGACGAGCCCTGAGTTTGTAGCCGAAACCGAAAAATTTGCTGGAGTGTATGGAACATGGGAATTAAGGTTTGGCATGCCTGCATTGGCTCAAGAACCCATATTGAAGGTTTTAAAAAAATGTACTGAAAAGGAAATTGATATACGGGAGAATGATGTTTCTTCGACAGTCCGAGTCAAATTTGATCACATTATATGAATCTAATTAAACTGCCTAATTTTTTCACCATATCTTTAGACTTATAATGTAAACTGACAATGTTGATTTCATTGCTTTCCGCTTCCAGCGAAGCGCGCATACAATTCCAACGCGAAGCCAAAGATATGGAACTGCTGCATGAAGAGAAAATGAAGGCGCTGAAAAACGAAGTCGAACTGGTGTACCGCATGCAAATGTTCGAGGTGGAGGAACGTAAGAACACACAAATACAACGTTTGATTGCAAGTCACGACACCGCCTTCAATGACATGAAGAACTACTACAACGACATCACACTGAACAATTTGGGTCTAATCAGCAGTTTGAAGGAACAACTCGAAGCGTTGCGTAAGCAGTCCGAACGCAGTGACCGCACAGCCGCCGAAATGATGGCCGATAACCGCAAACTCAAAGAACCGCTCGAGGCAGCACAAACCGAACTTGCCGATTTGCGGCGCAAGATGGAGCATTTCGAGCGCGATCGCAATCAGCTGGCGCGTCTCAAAGCACGCAACACTTATGTCGAAAAGCAATTGAAGGCGCTCACATGGGAAACCGAGACGCTGCTATTGCGTAACGACACACTCAAAAAGGAGCGCGAAGAACTCAAATTGAAATTTGACGATGTTGTGATGGAGCTGCAACAGAAGACGGGCCTAAAGAATGTGCTGCTCGAACGCAAGATATCCATGATGGAGCGTGAGGGTGAGAAACGCGATTTATTGCTCAAACAGACACAGATGATCTGCGGCGCTTCCGGCGATGTTACACAAAATATGCAGAAACAAATCGCATCGTCACTGGATGAGAAGAATAAATTGATTGACGAGCTGCGCTATGAACTGGTGCGCGTCATCAAAGCGCACGACGATCTACTCGCCACATACGAATCCAAGTTGACGCAGTTCGGCATACCGCAGGATGAATTGGGCTTCGAACCGCTGCGCCTGTCCGAGAAGCATCGTTATTTATGCGGCCCAGCTGGCCTGGTGACCAAAAATCAATGAAGAACTCCTGCCAATATGTCAACGATGCAGACACGCTTATCGGTTTGGCATGTTTCTTATTTTCGTTCTTTTTTTTTTTTTTTGTTGTTTTGTTCGTGCACTTTTGTATACGCTTTAAGCTGGCATTAATGCGAGAGGCTAATGGACTGAATGGAGGGTAGTATTTTTTTGACTTCTGAAACATACAACAAAAACAAGCATATTTTTAAAAATATATACATATCTATATAAGAGCCTGTGTGCGCAGCTGTGTGATATTATTTTATGTGTTCGTGATTTTTTTCACATTTTGTTTGCTGCCTCAGTTCAATGCTTGAATGGAACTTTCGCTTTATGTGCGATGATTTACTGGCACACTGATGCGGCTGCAGGCATACTCGTTGTTATTGTACTGCAACAACACTGATAGCGTGTCGGGTTGGTGGTGCAGTGGCATGTCGGCGTCAGTTGCATGCCAGCAAGTACATTATTCAAAAATTCTACTATGCTCGGGATGTGGTAATGGTGTTGACGTTAACGGTGTTTTGGCTGCAGCAGATCTTGGCCATTGGCCAACACAAAACGGTGCAGTGGAGTGTACTGAGCAAATAAGCGCGCTTGCGGCTGCAGTAACGGCAGTTGAACTTGAAAATGACACAGCAATAGCATGATAAACTGTAAGGTGAGTAAAAGATAAGAAGATGCGTTTGGTATGGCGAAGAGGTTTTGAAAAATAATAATTCTTCAGGTGGACTATTTTAGTTGCCTAAGAAACTGAGGGCACAAAACTAGCGTAAGCTTTAAGTTTTTCATGTGCTTCGGCAAAGGTTTCTGTGAGGCTTTCCACATGGTTGCACACAGTCTGGAAGAAAAAGATGTTTGCGTAATGAAACAACGATTCTAAGATCAAATTTCTTGAGACTACTATTTACGAGTACTGTCTTTAGTGTCAGGGTTCTACGGAAAACCATCTCTCAGACTCGAATTGAACTCAAACATTTAATCCCCAACAATTTATTGGAATGATTTACTGCTGGAATGCTAGATTATATTTCCCAGTTTGCTTCAGCACGTTAGTCAGTAAATAAGATTAGGTTAGTTGGCTGATCCCTCAGCTTGGCGGAGGGACAATACTTGGACTGTTGTGTTCAGTTCTTCGTGAAACCAGACGAAAAAGTTCTGTGGGTAGATATTAGCTAAGGATTGAATTTATCTCTGAAATCCGAGGTGTTTCCGCCTTGTTCTGGCAAAAGCAAGACATTGAAATTAGGAAGCTTTGCGATGGTTCTATCTCATCTCTTGCCAAACAGCTGATGCAGCTGGCATCCGATAAGATATTCAATCGTACTGCGTGCTTGAACAGTGTCCAGTTAGAACGGATACATATCTTGAAATATGACCCTTACTGAGAGCAAAGACATGCCTAAACCTTTTGCGATTTACTTTAGACCAGAAAGATCTTGAGACTGCACAATTTCTGGCTCCTGCCCGTTCCCATTCCGAAGTTATTTAGACTGAAGTACATGTACTTGCAGGCTCATCAACCTTATAGTTTTCCCAATACCACTGTGGTCTGACACCCGAAACCAGTATAATAGTAAAATAGCTCGATGCGAAGGATCGTTCATCCTTTCACTAGTCTTGAGCGCAAGGTTAGCGAACTCAGGACTAATATCGCTGCCTTACTCTTGGAGTGTATTGTAACCACATTGAAGAAGGCTGCACTCTGAAGCAGTAGATCTAATGCTATCTTTATAACAGCCACCTTGCTTGGAAGACGCTGCAATGGTCCGATAACCTAAAACTGGAGCTGATGATAAGTTCCCGACGGTGCACCTCTTCACTAATTCATCCTGCAAGCTTTTATCTATTCATAAAAAAGCTCACCGCCCCTCTGCTCCCGCGGGACTTTCCCTCATATGTCTGCCTCGATTGTATCTAAGCAGAGAAGTGACAGCCAGGGGTAGAATCGCAGACCTGGTAATCCAATTATTTTGGAATGAAGTCGAAGTGTGCTAGAATTTCCGTGTACACAGACTCGCAGACACCTAAGTACTCAGATTCTCTGAGTCTGAGGGCAGCTTTCGCGGTCATGCATCTTGCGGCTATATCTACCGGTGCTATATGTAGAAAGACATTCAAGAAATCCGTGGAAGATTATAGGCTTAACTAGTGTTTTCTACAGCCAAGGAACTACCTTTGGTAAGAGTCCCACCTTTACAAATGGTGCCCCTGCAGCAATGCAGGGAAACCGATGCCTTTCTTGCTCTTTCCATAAATACGTTAGAAGCATGAAGTTTCACAGTCAAATGCTGCGGATCCATTAAAATAGGAGTTAATATTGGGCAAAGGGGAAACATCTTTTTCAGTGCATTCCGCATGCTACCAACAATAGTAGGAAAAGCACTGTTAGAAAAGAAATTGTTTTTATCGAGTTGTTAGAGTTACCATAGAGCTGTAAAATAACATCAATCGTTTTTGGAATGGCAACACATTTTTTCATTATTTCACAGAAATGAAATAACTTTATAGCAAAGAAAACAAAGTGTACATATGTATGTATATGGCTATCCTATATACTAATAATTCATATATTCTTAAAAAATAATAGTTATCCAACCGATTTACAATTATACATATAAGAATAATTAAGAATATTAAGAATTATGAACATGGTTTAAAATTTCCATTTTCAAACTTTCCTGCATTTCTTCTGGTTTCTTTTGCAAAAGTTCGTCTAAAAATGTTAAAAATGCCTTATTCTTAGACTCCTCTTTAGCAGGGATTACTCTCTCGATAATACCGCAAAGCCGAATGAAACTTTCGTGTGCTCCATTGCTTTCCTGCACTTCTTCCGATTTTTTCTGTAGAAGTTCGTCCAGCATGGCTAAAATTGCCTTACTTTTGAGCTTATCTTTATTAGAAAACATCGTCTCACTATTGCTACAAGGATTACTCGAACATTCGGGTGCCTCCACGCTCAGCCGTTTACGTTTTGACGCTTTTTTGGGTTTGGGTGCCTCGATGCTGCTTTGGCTTTCATTTAGTTCACTTTCTCCGTGCAGCGCTTCTAACCACTGGCAATCTGTGGTTTCATACGGGTCACTCTGTGGTGAACCAGGTGAATTACTATAGTTTGGCTGGTCGTCGATGGACCATTGCGGGTTGAATTTTGTTCTACAAATGATAATATATATATAATTAATATGGTTCAATAACAAATATTTGAATTTGTAACTTACTTTCTAGGATTTACGTGCTTTGTTAAAAAGCGCATTAATTCGAAATAGCACCACTCATTCTTCTCCTCCGCAGCATCATCATCTGTCTTCGATTGCTGCAATACCACCTCCCGCACAAAACGGTCTCGTAGCGATTTCCAGCGTTGCTTACACTGTTCAACTATTGAAGCAATGAAATATATAATTTTGTCGTGAATTATAAAAATAATAAATGCTAACCTGGAGCTCCTGTTGCAATTGATGCTGCTTCCCACGCTTTCTCCTTCAACAATTTGTCTCGAAATAAAAGTGAACTTTTATCAAAAAGACAAGGGTGCAATTTTACAGCCTCGATTAACTTCTCCTCCATTATTAAAAAATTTTCTATATACAATTTATTGTTAGTTTTACTTTATTTGCGTTTTTTGTTTTGTGCGGTACAAGTCAAAATAAATAAGTAATAGAAATAACAACAGCTGATTGTAAACGCATAAAAATATGTGGTTGCCCAACTTCAGTCTCGTTTCGCTTTGCTTTGCTTCGCCTGTAAAACTTTTTATGCGAACACACTCAGTTGAAGGCATACCCAGTAGACAACTATCGGTTAAGTAACTAATTCTAAAGTTTCTAGTAATTTCAAAAGTGCGAATTGGCAAACCTAACCGAAACTGTTGTGTAGGTGTGGATATATTTTAGTAAGTCACGACTACCGAAACCGCAAGCTATTGTGAGAACCAGCAAGAAAACTAATAAATATTTTTAGGGCCTCCCCGAAATCGGTGTAATAATGGTTATAAGAATCATAGTTTTTGAGATATTAAATTTAATGTCGAGATAATTTCCATTTCTAATGCATTTTTCACATATTTGGTACACTTTTAAATCCCCTAAAAAGTAAAAGAAATTGCGTTTTAAGTGTTCAGAATCTAGATGTTTCCTTATTATAAGTTGTATTTTGACGCTGATTTTTTTTCAAATAGCCCTACCGATCCATAAGTGGAACATAATCACACCCTTACGTCAATTTTTCTTGCGTGAAGAACGTTGAAGCAATAATTAACACAAATTTTGGTTTTTGCTTTTCAGCTGTTCAGATGTGTATTTTTTAAGTCGGATTTATTGAATTTCTTTAACAATATTTAAAAAAATGTCGGACTGAGAATTAAAGCATTCAATTTATATAAACTTAACATTTTTTGATGTACGCACTATAATAGCAGTAAAAAAATTGTTTTGTGAAAATAATATGATCTGGTAACTTCATAAACATATTTGCAGTGTAAAAAAATAAATTCGTACTTTTGAAATAATTTCCAGCAAATAAATCACTTTTTTGTGCACATATTAAACATAAGTAGGATTTATAATTTACAACAAAAAATATAAACTTATATATCAAAAAAGTTAATACAACTCGAATTTTTGTATAAAAAATTATTCAGGCTGTTTGTTTTTTTTTTTGTTTTTTTTTTTTTTTTTTTTTTTTTTTTTGATTTTTTTTTTTTTTGTTTTCCTCGAGAAAATTCATNTCAAAAAAGTTAATACAACTCGAATTTTTGTATAGTTACATTCTTACATCTTTTATCCTATTTTTTGTTTTTTTTTTTTTTTTTTTTTTTTTTTTTGTTTTTTTTTTTTTTTGTTTTCCTCGAGAAAATTCATGTTATGTATGTATGAGTTTTGGCTTCCGTTTTACGTTTAATTGTAAATTTTTTTTCTTAAATGTTCATTAATTTCATTTTTTTTTAAATGCTAATATCTATGCAGATAGAATATTTTTAACTTTAAGAATATTTGATGCTTTACTATTAGCAAGTCCTTTTCGTATTTGAACGTGTTTTTTTGTTTTTTTTTTGTTTTTGTAAATCAATTTTATCGCTTAGTAATTTGTTTCTTATTTTTACATCGAGAATTCTAATATATGTATATACTTATATATGTATTTATGATGTAGCCTTATAAATTAATCACTTTTAAACTTTGCTTCTAAACTAAATACTCTCGCTTTTGCGGCAGTGCGAACATATTAATTAGTCGCACTTTAACTATATATTATGTATGTATGTATATATGTACGAGCATACATAATAAAGTATTTAGTGTGAATATAAAGAGTTTAAAAAGTTGCAAAATTAAACATTTAACAAATTTTGTTTTTAAAATTGCTAATATAAGGATAGAAACTATTTTTTCTTGTAATAAAATCACTTTCCGCATTATAACGTCATACTAAACATGTTTTCATTCATTTAAATTAAATTAAATTACAAATTTAAATTGTTATATGGTGTACAGTTTGATATTTGCCTTTGCTATTTTTTACTTAATTCATTTTTAATACTCTTACAATGTTTTTGAAAAATATCACATCAGTTTTCAACGATTCAACGGTTACGGTTCTATTTTTTAATATGTTCCTTTTGCTCACTGCTTTTTGCGCATTACTGTGGGTGTGATGACTTTTTTAGTCACATTATATGTGCTTTTATGTGTATAGTGTCTGTCTGTTTGTCGTTTGTAAAAATTTTATTGTTTGTTTCGCGTTATAAAACAAAAGAAAACTGAGAATCATTATTTTTTACAGAAAAGTATTACTATTTATTTTCGTATGTAATTCAGTGGTAAATGAAAGCAAAATACGATTTTTTAAATTTGTTCTTAATTTTTTTTAACTGCTATTTCAATTGTTTATTGTTGTCTTTATATTTTTTTCGTTTATGTGCTTTGCGTAAATTTTGAGGATCTATCGGATTTTTGAAAGGTACTTGTCGGTTGCGCTTGATTTGTTAACACTTTTGTCCAATGTTGAATATTTTTGCTTTTAATTTCCATGTAATTTCTTATATTATTGTATTGTAACACAAGTTTGCCTTGTCTTGCTTGCCAGCTATTTATTTCGGTTTTGTTTATGTTTTGCTCGTTCGTTTTGGTTTAAATTCTATTTAGTTTCGTTTTAATACTTTTAAATTTACTGCTATATCATTCGTTAAACGTTAAATTTTTGCTTTAAATTTCTTAGCGATCACAACGGTTTGTTTCACAGATGAGTGGTTTTTTTTTGTGTTTTTTTTTTTTTTGGAAATCAATATAACTAAAGTCATATACCTATAATAATATGTGGTGTTTGTAATTTTTAACTATAATTAGCAATACCATTTTCTTCAAATAACTAGTTCGGTAGCAACTGTTTGTTAGTTATAATAAATTATAGGTTAGGTTGAAATATTAATATTACTTCAGTTTGATTGTTCTTTGTTGCTTTTTTCTAATTAGTTTACGACAATACAACTTACCGTTTTGCTTATTTTAGTCGAACAGTATTTAATCGTTTCGTTATTACTATATAGTCTGATTTTTATATGCAAATTTTGTTCGGCAATTTTTATGTCTCAAATGGCACGTTTCCTGCAAAAAATTTCGCTTATGCATGTACAATTTGATTTATCGAATAACTGTTTCTATATATTTTCTATTATGTTGTTATATACCAGTTTTTTGTTTAAAGGCAGTCAAAGATTCAGTTGCTTGTCAATACAAAAATTTCACTATTTTATCAGATAATTAAATTTATTTAGTTTATTGTTCCTCCAGTTGCAGTTGCGTACGTTACGAAAATGCTTTCGAATAATACAGAGTACTAACATTCCAATGCACTTGCAGTGTGTGGCTGTGTGTTTAGTCTGTGTGTCTGGTCTATATATGCGGGTTACAATTGGAATTTGGCAGCATTTTTTCTGATATAAATTTGTATTTCTTCATTTCAAATTTCTTACATATTCAAGTTTAAAATAAATAGATGAGATTCTTCTCTTTTTCTATCTTTTGTTTAAATGTAACAAATTGGAATTCAACAAAAGTGGTTTACAATTTACATTAAAGCTAAGGTAATTATAACGAAAAAAAAAAAAAAACCTATTACAAATGAGTGCTAAAGCAATTTCTTATAATTCATATTTTTTATGCCGCTGATTTTGTGTCGCGAATTATTCATGTTCTTTTTGTTTTTTAAGTGTGTGATGATGTTAGCATGAATAAAATTGTTTGCTCTAATTAAATATATTATCGTAATAATTTATAATCACTTGCAAATATTAAACAAATTTCGAGTTTCTCAGTACAGTTTACTATTATTTCGAATCAGTTCAGTTTCAATATCAGTTTTTACGCGTATTTGTTTCCGTTAAACATTTGAATTTCATACAAACTTATATTTGTAATTATATATGTATATGTACATACATTTTTCGTATGTGTGATTATGTGTCTTGCGTGCATGTGTGCCAATAATACACACTTGGCTTAAAATACCATTAGCATAATGCTCCTCATTTCATACAAAGTATAATTAAATTTACAATAATTTAGTTTAATTAGGTTTAACTTAATTGGTAGTTTGCATTTCGAATTGTTTGCGATTTTGCAGTTTAAGGCATTTCAGTTTAGCATCCATATTGGTACGTTACGTCTATGATTTCGTTCAATTTTGATTGATTGTATCCATTCAATGGTATTGTGTTCAAAATTTTCAATTGCATGGTTACTTTTCTTTTGTTTGGTTTTATTTTAAACATTATTACTTTAAAGCACGTTTTCAACGGTTGCACATTAACTAGTATTATTTAACAGAAATTCATTTAAACAATTGAGACAAGCGTACATTTCAATTACTTTGTAATTAATGATAATAATAAAAAAAAAGCGTAACGCTTAATAATGCTGTCGCAGAGAGGTGGTATGTGTTTGTTTGTAGAAAGGAAATTAACAGCATCAATTAAAAATGAAGCAAACAGAAAAATTAGTATGCAAATTTATACATGAACATATAAGCAGACTTATTCTCAACACTAGTAGAAGGAAATAAACTTCACTACAATTATCTTTCATATTTATGCATACTACAAGCTATGATATTAATTACGTAATTGGTTATACATGGCGTATTGCATGTAGTAAGTAGAACATTTAAATATTATCGTTAGTGTAAGTATGTATTATGTTTTCACTAAGCAATCGGATTAATAATAACGCACTCGTAATACAATTTTTGTGTGTGTGCATGTTTAGATTCAAATCACGTTCACTAACACTCAATTTATCAAGTGAAATCATTTATTACGCTTACCGCTAAACAGAAAGCGAAAAAATTATGTTTAATATACTTCACGCACACCATTTTTTCACTATGCCTAACGCGTATACCGTTTCCAATTTGCTGCGTTCTGCTATCGAAAATAAGTTTGGCGCTTGGCTTTAACCGAAACGATTCAAAGCGAAATTGTTTATCAAATTTGTAGTATGCTCGTCTAAACCGCAAATTTCAAGCACGTTTTCGTTGCGCGTTTCTGAATAACGCATCGATTTGCGAAATTTCAACAAGTCCAATATAACGAACCTATGAAATAAAAAAAATTACATTAGTTAAAGATACAATAATTGGCAAATTGTGGAAAAGTATGCACCAGTTAAAATTTGCAATAAATATTGCAATTAAAAATATACAAACATTGCAATGATACAAATAAATGCACATACTTTTTCTACAAATTAAAAATATGCGTTCACTCACTTTGCTTTTGGGTTCTTCTTTTCGCGATATTTGTCCAAAAATTTGCACAGAAATTCGGAATTATTTTTTGGATTACCGCGTCCAGCTGTTGGTACAATAACTAGAAATACATCATACACTTGCTTGCGTTCCATAGCACGCAAAACGGGCGTTATGAGGCGTTGGCTAGTTTTTGTAATCTACGGTCAAATAATATAATAGAAAACTTTCTCAAAATAAAAGCAATTACAGTGCCTAGTAACTTACATCCAACAAATCACAGTAGTCAATCGCATCTTCTACAGTTATGCCAGCCTCCCAGGGCATCTGACCCAAAACAAGCTTTTCATCGATCCAGTAGAATACGTCGACTTCTTTTTCTTTTTTAAAGTAACCAAAAGCCAAAGCTATTGCAGCTTCGAGAAATCCCAATTTTTTGTGATTTTTTAAAGTTTCTGAAAATATGCAAAAAAAAAAAAAATTTAATAATCGGTAATTTTTCGCGCACATATGTATATAAACAACAAAGCACTCACTTTTCCTGTAATTTTTTTGTATATTTATTGTGATGTGCATACGCAAGCCAGTGCTTTGATTGTTGCCAAACGACTGCTGGTAAAGTTGCTTGAATAATGGCATTTTCAGCGCTTCAACTCGTTTGGGTGTCAACTGGTTAATTTGATGCAATTACTGTTGTGCTTTAAATCTCGTCATTACTGTTATAATATACTTACTTTTGCTATGTCATCTCGCATACCCAAGTCACGCATTTGCATCAGGAACACAATTGGATGAATATTGTCCTTGCGCAATAGCTTCTTATTTTCGAATAGTGTCTGGCACAATTTCATAATTTTTGGATTATCAAAATGATAACGTGCCAAATTGCGCCAACTCTTTAACAGTTGCAGATATGACATAGTTGGTATTAACGCCTCCATAATAGGACCGAAACGCAGTAAATGATTGGGCACTTGATGGTAACGTAGTTTGAATTTGCGTATAATTTTTAATGCCTCTGTCTTATTCTTGGTTGTACGTAGTTTGCTAACGGACAAGATGACCGAGGTCGACAATTCCGTGTTACTTTGTGTTTTTTCCACATCTGTGGTGGCTGTCTTTGCAATTTGCGCTTTTTCGTCCACTTGTGGCTTAGCGTCTGCATGATTTTCAATAGTTGTGGCTTCCTCACTTGATTCACATGATTTAAGTAATTCAGTACATGTTTTGAAGAATGGCGTAACAGTACCCACAGCACCGATGGTTTCGTCGTTAATGTGACATAACTTAATAAGCGCTTTGTGCGTAAACCCATGTGCACCGCGATGTGTTAGCCACATTTGACGTAACTCTTCGGGTGATTGATCTTCATACCAAGCTGTAATGGCTTTCCGTGTTGTATTTGTAAAGCCTTTATGTTTCAATTCACGCTGGATGAGCATAGCATATTTGCAAAACATGAAAAGGTCTTCATCATTTAGTATTAACGCCGGAAAGGCTTTACGCACGGATGTTTTCCATTTTATGTCAACATAGCTAGCTAAATAAGCTGCATATACGAGAAGCGGCTATTTGAGAGAATATAAGAACAAAAAAAAAAAAAAAAATAACAATTGATAAATGTTCAGAACAGCGGCATTTGTGACTTTGCTCAGCAATTTGAGAGGGGAGAAATGTTTAATATTCACCTCATCTCGTCGCACGAGTGTGGTTTCCTGTAGTGCTTGTCGCAAAATTAGAAGCATTGCTACGTCATCCAGTGATTTGCAGAGAACCTCTAATTGCGACCAATACTGCCCAACATTGATCGGGCCTCGCAGATGTATATACACGGGTTCAAATCTACCAAGATAGCAGAAGCGCCGTAGCTTATCTTTTGCATCCAATTCCATCGGTTAGCTTTTCAAAAAGCCGTATTTTACACCCAACTACATTGTGATGATCAAAAATCAAATAATATTAAAATTCGTTAATCATACATGCAGCTACTTACAACGCCAAAGTCTTTAAAGTTATCGTCACCGTCCGCTTTCACTGTATACTCTTTGCTTTCCTACGGTCTACGGCCACAGCCCAAATTGAGGCACGCAAAAGCAATTCTTACCTCAAAGTGAACGTAATTCACTCGTTATAGCCTTTGTCGTAAATATTATCGTGTTTGTTTAAGATTTAAAATGTAAAAATGGTCAAACTCAAGAATGAAATGAAGAAATGTGCAAACCGCACAAAACGTAGTGAAATGCAAATTGCAATAGCTCTTCTTTTTTTTTGGTATGACAAAGGTTCGACAGAACTTATCGATAAGCGAAAAGGGGAGAGATAGTAAATGTTTTGGCATAAGCATGTTTTAAATATAGCTTAAAATTTCAAAAAACTAAGATATTTGCTGAAATATTAAAACCTTACACTCCGTAGATGCCGCTAATACATCAACAATTAAAAACTTATTTTGAAAATGGCGTCTGTTGCAATAATTTTGAATTTCCTGCTTTAGTGCAAAATGCTCATACTCATTCATTTGCTATCGATTTTCGATTTTTAGAAATAAATCTGTCGCTCTTTGCACATTTCCTATAAGAAACAGATGGCAAAGAACATTATACAAAACGAAGCTAAGAAAGAGCCTATGAAAACAAATAACGGAAAATATAAATATAGGAATCTTGAATGATGGAATTCGCCTTCGTTATTTTCAATTAATTACTAGTAATAGAAAACACGCGACTTTTAAACACAGTACATTATTAATAGTTTGTTTTTATCAAATATTAACACATTTTTTGATAATAGCACTTTCGAAATATTATAAAGTAGTTTGGAAACCACTGTAACACTTTGTACTTAAATTTGGTAGCACTTGTGCGTCGCATGTGAAAACCGTTACCGAAATATTTCATTCAAGTAGTGTATTTGTAAATTTTACAAGTGAAACTAGTATTTGTACTTCGATCAAAACAGAATTCTTTATTAAGACTTTTATTAAAATATTTAATATGCGCGTAAGTATTTGCGAATATGTAAGTTTAAAATTTAATGAAATGAGGTCTTCCCCTAGATTTTACGCTCGCAATATTTGAAATTGAAGGCCGGGCACAGTCTTGATGACACAACTGCAACTAAAACAAAAGTAAGTATCTATACTTCTTATCAAATTCATTTACAGCTAGTGCCGTAATTTTAAAATCTTAATATCATATCTTCTGCACATACATACACATGTATTCTTTAGCTGACTGCAGTTCACGATGAAACCCAAATTCGTCATACCAGAATGGCATCGAAGGCCATAGAAGACGTAAAATCTATGAAAACCGTTACTCAAGCTACACGTACTAGATTGCGACACAATTCTGTAAATTCAAGTAATGCCGATATATTACAACATGCTTTATTGTCCGCTAAAAACAATCTCAACAAGATTTTTCCTAATACAGCGGTCGGACAATCGCCTATACAAAAGCGTCGTCAAACACTAACCTGCGTTGATGACGATCTGCTAAAACAACAGATTTTGGATGCACTAAAAATTAAATTAATTAACACACCGACCGATCAATATACACGCATCAATGTGGTCGTAAGATTCTATGACGAAGGCACTATGTGGTATACGCGTTTCTATCGTAGTTATCAGGATGTGTTGTGGTTAAAAATACCACGCGGCGGTAAAACCACCAAAACAAAGTGGCATTTCAAATGTGAGGTGTGTGAGAAAAAACTGTGCTCTTTCGGCACACTAAAATCTCATCTTAATATACATATGGGTTTTTTCCCATACCGTTGTGAAGATTGCCCAAAGCAGTACCCTGCTAGAGGCACTTTCATGCGTCATAGGAAGACAAAACACTAAAGCAAGGATTAAAGACAATCATTTAAGACGACACACCCTATACATAGACAGGATTTAGAAGCAATGACGAAAAAAATACCAGTCGACGAAAATGCTTAAAAGTATTTTATGATTAAAAATTGAATTGATTGTTTTGGTTTTCGTTTTGGTTTTTACAGTTCACAACCACATTAAAAGTAGACAAACGTGTTAGCCCAGTGAAAAATTTTGACTTCTGTACACTTTTTTTTTATATAAATACTTACTAACGCAAATTGAAAATTTACATACTTTTGTATATAGAAATGATATTGTTTGCAAAGCAGCAAGAAATAAATTTAAACTTTTTTGTACATATTTACATAAACGTATATAATATAAATTTAGTTTCTACTTATGGATTCGATTGGTAAACATTAATGGTTATGAAAGTGACAAAATAAATAATTTGTTCGAATATAAATTTATTGGTTAACAGCACTGTTGGTCTGTAAAAATAGAAGTCGTTTAAGGAAGTTTTATGCTATCGAAAAACCAAGTACAGTGTTGAGAATTTTTTAATTCAAAATTCCTGGATTAAAGTTGAAAAATTTAAAAATTGAGATTGAAAGTCTCTGAAACAACTTAGCTTCATTTAATACATATTGTTTAAGAACTAGGAAAACACCTTGACAACTTTCGTTGGAATTAGAGAGAAATAACACAAAATTGCAAACAGTAATACATAATAACCACTAAATACAATTCCAAATCCTCGCAACCATTAATAAATATTGATTTTGAAGTGAAAGATAATATTTTTTCTTTTATAAATATGGAATTTTTTAACTTAAATTATATATATCGGTATATATTCGGAATTTTTGTATTCATTATGAAGTTATCAGAATATTCCTTTCACAGTAGTAAAAACTAAAATTGATGAAATAAAAACCAGAAAAAAATATAAAAGAGTATAAAAAGATCTTGTTTCTTGATTTTGATCTAAATAATATGTTGTTGTTGTTGTAACGGCATAATTCTGCCGAGTTGACAGTCCTTTGCCGGATAAGAATGCGGGTCCGTTCCGGTTTTCGTAGACCCGACTGTCGTGGGAACGGGTAAATAATATGTTCGAGCATTGTAATAACCCTTGGCAAATTTCCTGAGGATATCTCATCAAATAAAGAGTATAAAAAGTCTTTGATCGTGCAGTTTTTATGGCAGCTACATGCTATAATGAGCAGCTTCTTTGGCAGAAAAAGACGTATGAAAAATGTCTGATCGATAACTCAAAAACTGGTTGACAAATATGTAGACTGACGTGCATGGCTAAATCGACATAGTTCATCACTCTGATCATTTATATATATAATTTTTATATACATATGTTTATATTTTATAGAGACCTCCTTCAGGGTGTAACAAACTTCGTGGCAAACTTAATATATATTTTGGTTATATATATTTTACGGCCTATAACTATTTTGATTGCACCCATGTAAAAAGAAAAATATCATTTTGTTGTTGTTGTTGTTGTTTTGTGATTTTTATTTTATTATTAATTATATTAATCTTATACGCGGCTAAACAATTTTATGAATAATTTTAAAACTGGCATATATTCCTACTGTTATTATATGCTTTAACGCTCTCCGCTCAAATTTAACAGTTCAGTTTCTTTTTGTTTTTGTTTTTGTCGAATAAGCAAATATTTAATGGCGCAAGTATTTTGCTTTAGATTTTTATTTATTTTTTATTTTATTTATTTATTTTTTTTTTTTTTGTTATTATGTTTCGCTCATGTAACATGTGGCACTTGCATAATTTCAAATTTCATCGCTTAACCAGCTTATCATTTAAGTGTTGCACTTAATTTAATATTAAATACACTACTTTTTACTATTAATTCAAAGACTTAAGCTTCTTATTGCACTTAGATTATAAAGTAAAATGTAATGCTTTGCATTCGGTTTTCTAGTTCTCAATTTGATATAGTTTAATTGCATTTTTATTATTTAAACTGCAAGTTTATATGTATTAGTGAAGTGTAAGTTGAAAAATTGCTTTAATTTGATGATTTTTTTAGTTTTTTTTTTCGTTTCGCTACGGTTTTGCTTTAGCGCATTTTTTTTATTAAATATGACTTTACGGCGAAACTACAAATGTGTATATATCTATATATGTATATATGTATGTATGTGTTAGAATGCAAAGTGGATTCGAAAATGTGTTAATTATTGTTCAATATTGCCTCAAATGTTGTTATATAACTGTGTTATTTACATTTCTTCGCCGTTTCTCTGTTTGCAAATTTTTTCTGTAGTAATTTGTATGTATGTATGTACATAGGTACACGCGTATTTTTGTCAATATGACAATGTTTTTTCAAAACTGAAGCGTTAGTAAAGGAAAAAAAGGGTTTATGCGTGCGTTAAGTAGTACCAACGTAATATCTGCATTAAATTAATGAGCAAAAGCAATTTTCATTTTAAATATTTA